TGCTTTCGATCATTTGCCTTGGTGCAATTTCCCATTCCTTGGTGCTCTTTTGTAAAAAAAAAAATGAGGAGGTGCGGAAATAGAGGCCGCTGTTGGAGCTACCGTGGAACATTTTGGAGAAAAAAAAGATCGACGCGCATGATTAAAATCGACGCGCGCGCTGACCAGCATATTGAGTCGTTCGTCTCATTCATTGTTTGGATAGCCGACAGAGGGGGCTATTTATTTGTACAGCGCTCACTATGGATACGCGCGATCGATCGATATCAACGCGACGTGTGCACGTAGCTGGATTGTGCATGTAACCAGACGGAAGTTCGAGACAAAACCATGTTCTTTTACACAGTCAATCGTGTACAGCAAAGATCCTATAGCGCGTGTGCGCATCCGTGTTAGCTCTCTCTCTCCACGTTGTTCTGGGCGAAAGTTGGGAAAGTTTTAGTCCCAAAGTTTCCGTTTGAAGTCGAGGTATTTTCCTCTTTTCAAGTTCATCGTGCATGAAGGTGACTTGTCTGCATTTGATTCAGGATCAGTTTGGTGCAGGTATGAGAGTTTCAGAACTTTCATTTACAGAGATTTTGCTTGCTTATTGTGATGAGTTCATGATTTCTTTTGACTCGCACTCTGTGAAACCATGGAGGAATAAGAATTCTCTGTAGGCCTATGTACATGTGCATGTACACGTACATGTACATGTACATTGTTCACGCGATACGTTGATTTGCAATGGGCTTGTGGTGGCCCATACTCAATTTTGGGAACATTCTTTGAAATTCTCAGGATCACTAGAGGATACCTCAAGAAGTTCAAAACCACTTGATGCCATTTTTTTCTGACCCTTTTGTGGGCGTGGCCATGATTTTAAAAAGTGGGGGGCATCGCGCGCAAAAAATAATTTAAAAAAATTACTTTTCTTTTTCGCATTTGGACAGTTCACCCAAGTGCTACATCACAAGAAAAAAAAATCCACAATTTTGCCTCTTTTGGGGGTGGGGCAACATTTTAAAAAGTGGGGGTCACATGTCGATAACAGAAAATCGACCTGTAAAATGCAATCTTGACGTTTTTGTTTTTGTTGTTGTTTTTGTTTCAATCTATTATAATTTGACGAGGAAAAATGTTTACATGTCAACTCATAAATTCTTTGGCTCCCATTTGGGGGGCGTGTCTCACTTTTTTCATAAAAAGGGGGCATATGTGTATTCCAAAAGGAAGCTTGTGAGAGCCCTTATGGATTTATGGCACATTTTTTTAAACTCTCACAAAGACCTATGGACACCTCAACAAGTGAAAAACTGTTCCACCCTACTTATCTCTCCCCCCCCCCCCCCCCATTGGCCATTATCCCCCCCCCCCCCCCCCCCCCCAATTGGCCATTAAAATTACAGCCTTTTGTTAAATGGAAAATACAACATTTGCAAACATCAAAAAATAAATCTACCAAATTATTAGGAAATATCTTGCTGGACTATTAGTGAATGACAGTCTAAAGCATCCTGTAAAATCATGGCACCTGGTGTACTGTCATTTTCAAGAAAAGTGTTTTTTGTATCAATTTCCAACACTGGTCGGCCGACCAGCGTTGGAAAAACCTGGGGTTTTTTCAAATACTTGCCCCAATTGACCATATTTAGTTCTAAGTCTACATTTGTTTGCAATCGATTACACACCTGTGAATGGGTACAAGCCAGCCAGACTGGTTGCCTGACCTTAAAATTCCCCAACGTCTGTATATGCCTCAGTTTCATCTTAAATGGAGTCAGGGAACCAGACTACAGGAAAATGATTGTTTTTATTGGTTTTTATAGCATCTACGAACCCAAAACGTCAAAAAAGTCAGTGTAACAATATTTGCTATAAAATACCAACCTCCCGAATCCATCCATTTCTGAAAATTACAAGAGCAAATGATGTATATTCCCTTTAACATATCTTGCATATATTGTACACATACAAACTGACAAATAATCGATTTTGAGAGACATTTATGTTTTGATATAAATCTCCATAACTCAAACTTCAAGAGAGTGGGCTCCAATTTTAGCTAAGCAGAGTTTTGAGTTAAGCCGGGTTGTATATCACTGTTATAGAAGGGAATAAAGTCCTTGTTTGACTTAACAGGAGGTTTGAGTTATATTTTTTTATCAACAGTTTAACATTTTGAGATTTCACTGTAGTTTATTTTGTCCTGACAACAATGTTGACCTCGTTTTATTACACACAAACTGCAATAGCCTTTTTAACTTCAAATGTATTTATCTTCACTTCATTTATAAAAATGATATTATTAAATGTGGTACTCATTCATTGGAAATAACGTTTGAAAATGAAAAAAATCAATATTAAGAGTAAAACTTATCAAACTTTGGTGATTTAGTGAATCCTTTATAAGTCACTTGTAATTGGACAGCATCTCTGGCATTTAATATCCATGACCTTATTTAGTAATAGAAAAGTGTGAGACTATATTGTCAATAGTTTCAGAATCCAGATCAGGATGGATTACACAAGATTTGTTTCACTGAACAGTTTTAAATTTGGCATATCACCATAAATGATATGATTGGTGATGTACTTCAAGATTGGATATATCAAAAGGATTTGTAGCCACCGAGTAGAGAAACACATCTTAGGCTGAAACTTTGATGACTATTTTGCCAATAGTTTCTGAAAACCCAATCCACATGAAGGCCCAGGCAGAAATCGAACCCTGCGATGAAAGGCGAGGAAAGTAACCAATGAGCCAACCTGACTCCCCAAGCGCCAACCTGGCTCCCCAAATATTAAAAAAAAGCATGTGTCTGACTAGTTCAAATTATAAAAGTACTACAAATCCTTTACCTAAACATTCCAGCATGGTTTTCCAAAGCGAAAAACTCAAAAGTTAGGCAAACCTCTTGACAGAGGCTTGGGATATCAAGTTTTCCTTCTGATATATCCAATCTTAAAGTATGGGCACCAATTATATTAATGATACATATATTCAGTGATATGCCATATTTAAAACTGTGACACACAACAAATGTGTAATCCATCCAGATCTGGATTCTGAAACTATTGACGATATGCTCTCACACTTTTCTATTACTAAATAACATCATGGATATTAAATACCAAATGTGTTGTCCAATTACAAGTGACTTATGTAGGATTCACTAAATCACCTAATGTTGGCAAGTTTTACTCTTACTATTGCAATTTGTAATTTTCAAACTTTATTTCCAATGATCGAGTACCACATTTCATAATATCATTTGTATAAATGAAGTGAAGATAAATAAATTTAAAGTTAAAAAGGCTATTGCAGTTTGTATGTTATAAAACAAGGTCAGCATTGTTGTCAGGACAAAATAAAACCTCCTGTTAAGTCAAACAAAGACTAATTATTCCCTTCAGTTGTATAACAGTGATATACAACCCTGCTTGACTCAAAACTCAGCTTAGCTCACATTTTGAGCCCATTCTCTCAAAGTTTGACTTATCGAGATTTCACTGTATATCAAAACACAAATGTCTCATAAAATTGATTATTTGTCCATTTGTACATGTATGTGTACAATATGCCAGATATGTTAAAAACGGCTGCCATTTTGGCCAATGGGGGGGGGGGAGTGGGGTGGAGCAGATTTTCACTTGTTGAGGTGTCCAGAGGTGTTTGTGAGAGTTTGAAAGAATGTGCAATAATCCATATGGGCTCGCACAAGCTTCCTTTTGGAATACATGTAGGCCTATGCCCCCTTTTTATGAAAAAAGTGTGACACGCCCCCCAAATGGGAGCCAAAGAATTTATGAGTTGACATGTAAACGTTTTTTCCTCACCAAATTATAATGGATTGAAACAAACAAAACAAAAACAAAAAACCTCAAGACTGCATATACAGGTCGATTTTCTGTTAGCGACATGTGACCCCCACTTATTAAAATGCTGCCCCGCCCCCAAAAGAGGCAAAATTGTGGATTTTTTTTCTTGTGATGTAGCACTTGGGTGAACTGTCCAAATGCGAAAAAGAAAAGTAAAATTTTTTTAATTTTTTTTGCGCACGATGCCCCCCACCTTTTAAAATCATGGCCTCGCCCACAAAAGGGTCAGAAAAAAATGGCATCAAGTGGTTTTGAACTTCTTGAGGTATCCTCTAGTGATCCTGAGAATTTCAAAGAATGTACCCGAAATTGCATATGGGGGGTCATTTTCGACCATAAGCCCACTGACTATAAGGACCGTGGTCCGCTAGCATCGCATGAGTCGAGAGAGGGCAGCGCATGGTCTCGGGTCCGGTCTGGGTGATACGTAATATTATACTAGGGCTTCGAGGGAAACAGTATCCATTTGTCTTTTATATTACTAGTTTATCATGGAAAGAGATTGAATCATTGAATTGTATTTTGTTTTGTATCAATAGGGGATTAGATGGGATTCGATTGGATTGATTGTCGGATTGGATTGATTGTCAGACGGATTGGATTGATTGATTTATACTGAAGATTTGGGATCTGGATTTTTGGAGAAATATCTTCTGGGATTTGTAGAGGGTTTCTACTGGGATACATACAATACATATCAGTTTAACCAATAAAAGGGGAAAATAAGTTTATTTTCATACGAGTCCGATTTTCTATGACACCGGCATGGAAAGTGCCACCTATAGACCATTATCATGTTGTTGCGGCCATTTGAGAGTTTTCCCATTCAAATCAATGTAATCAAAGCGAGGCTGGTAGAAAAAAAAATAGACTGGTTCCTTTTTGCATAAAAAATGTTACCACTCAGTATTGTGGATACAGGGAACATGACTAAAATGGTGGCAGCATGTGATAAAGATCTATTGTGCGATCACTCCAACTTGTAAGTACCCTCGGCCCTCCCCGTGATTCAACCTTTCAGCACGGATGAGGCGAGTGCCTTTTTCCACGTCTAACCCCCCCCCCCCCCCCCAATAAAAATGACCTTGAAACGCCACTGAATTATGTTTGATTTATTTTTCTGGCTGTTTGTATTTCAGTTGTTTTTGATGACTTCATGTATGCGGTATAGCGACCATTCCTAGCAGCAAGATTTACGTGAGTAAATGACGCCACAACCCCCAGGAGCCTTTACTGGCATAGTGCAGTTTCTACTCAACAGAAAGGAAATTGGCTATCAGCTTCAGTCCAAAAAATGGGCCACCGGTATCAATTGACCGAAAGGAGCAATGCTCATTAGCGATCATTGGCAAGGTATGCACATCTAGAGATGGAAAATGTGCGATAGCTTTGTAGTGTGAATGTGTGAGCTGTGGCAGTTCTATGGGTGTTTTCACTTTTAATTTGTTTACAAAATGGCCGCAAATATGCTTGTTACCGGATTAATTATATGTGGTAATAAGCATGTTTTGGCCGCCATTTTTTTTTAAAGAGAGTGATAGCACCCAAAAAGCTGCCACCGCTGCAATGCTATCACAGATTTTCCAACTATGTACAGGGGTGCATACCTTGCCAAAAAACACAATGAGCATTATTCCCCTCATTTGATACCGACCAAACTCACAGGCTTATTGGCATAAACTGGTCTGGCGTAGGGAATTACAGAAACTAATTAAAAAGCAAAAAATGCTGTTAAACTTTTCTTTTCAATATCTCATATTCTTTCTTGCATCTTCAGGAATTAATACACAATATTACAAAAGGGTAAAATGCTTTTTATAATAATTATAATGGGTATTTATAAAGCACACGTATCTACCATTATTGGTGCTCAAGGCGCTATCATTATTACCCTGCTTACCGGGCCAATGAAACATTTCAAATACCATCTCAGCTCTCTTGGGAGTATACAGCTCGTTGCAGCCAGTTAGGCACAAAGCAGTAAAATCAACCACAAAAACCATCTCTGCCCTCACAGGCACCCATGTACTCAGGAGCAAAAAGTGACAAAGTACCTTGCCCAAGGGCACACGTACCACGACCCCAGGCTGGACTCAAACCCACAACCTGCAGAATTACCCGCAGACCACGAATTCAATGCTCCAGACCACGAGGCCACGGCGTATTTATTTACAATTTGTTGTTTGTTACAGAGTCTTCTGATCAAAACCGTACTGCTCAAGATGACGTTTACTCAGGAAGGATCTCTACCAGGCCTATAACAAAGTTCCAACCTCTGTCAATAAAGCAAAATCCAATTCCCTGTTGGGCACTTTTGGTTCAGATTTTCATATCCTTCAGAATTCAACACTCTAGAGTAGGCCTATAACAAGTGACACATTCATTGTACTGTTATAAAATACGGGCATTTGTATGTACAAAACAGTGAATTACAGTGCTAAGTTGTTCATCTGTAAATACATCTATAGACTTTATTCATTGGTACTATAAAAGGCAGGAAGTGACATCGCATAATTTGGGCGACTACGTACGCACTAGCTTCACCAGTTGCCTTGATGAGTTCATTTACATGTAGTTGAAGAAATTCATACAAGTTGGAGATCAGTACTGTTGTAAGTGCAAACCTTAATATTGTGCAAATCACATAATATCGACATCCCACCCTAGCGCAATGGCATCACCTAGCCCTGGCACTAGCCAACATTTGGTAAATAAATGCGCAAAGTGTAAAACTTCTGAAAACCCACTGGTCCCTTCACTTATACCCGATCAAGATGAGCTATGCTCTCTGTGCCTGCTTCAGACACAAATCCAGAATCTCCATCTGCGTAATGAGCTGGAGACGATTCAACAAGAGGGTGATATAGTGTCTGGGATGTTGGAAGGCGAAGCACCAGACAGGGAAACTCAGGAGTTAGTAAAAGTACGACAAAAGGCCCACGGTGCAATCGAATTAATGATGGGTCTGCATGTCCCAAAGCAAACTAGTAGTGGTAAAGAGGAAGTTGGAAAATTTGAGCCAACTTTTGGGGATATTCAGGTGATAGAAGCACTGGCTCCAGATGTTTGTCTGCGACTTCGGAAGGGTTCACTCCGTCAATTTCACTCAATACTGCACCCTGTTAACAACATGGTGGATGGGGAAATGGGATTTAAAGGGACACTCTTTGAAGTATTTGGGTCCGAAAAAAAAAACAACAAGAAGGAGTACACGGACAAAAACACACGGGCAAAGAAATTGGTAGAAGCAACGAAAAAAATCGGGTCCAAGAAGGTATATCTATTGGATGGCCATGGCAGGATGCTCCTATCGATCGTACATGCGATGATTGAGCAAGGCTTAGATCCAGACTCGTATGAGTTTGTAGTAGTCGATAATGACGAGGCGTGTCATCGCTTCCATGAGCATTTGTTCCCCCAGTCAGTAACATGCAGATGTATGAATATTTTGGACATTGAGTTACAGGAAACTGACATGCTTTACATGAATTTTTGTAGCATACCATCAAGGGTTGAAAATATCCTCTTTAACAAAGAAGAAGTTCTGAAGTGGGCATGGCAATGCATGAAAACTATTGTAGAATGTGGGATAATGATCTCGGCAATGATCCGTGATACGCGGACAAAGGCACAGATAGACAAAGGGACACTAACAGCTGTTGGCCCAAGGAAAGGCAAACATACGAAGGAATTCCACCTTCTTCCAGCAGGTTTTCGAGAGTGTCTTGAAGACCTTTTTGGTGCTAAGGTTGTGTCTCGGCGTCACAACTTTGTGACGTGGCTTATCGTACCTGAAAAGTGTGCCACAAAAAATGAACCAGACTGCCTACAATCCTGGTTTAAGGATGAAGGCATTGAATGGGATCGCAACGTTGAATTCTATCCTGGTGCTCTCGTGAAATGTGAAAAAAGTTCAGGAAGAATTTATCGAATTGTAAATCGAACACCAGATCGAGTGGATCTTGTAGAGTATGATCCAGTCGAAAAAGTGCACGGTCTGGAAGAAGTTCGCAGAGATATCAAAAATGTTTCCATTGCATTGGAAACTGATATGAAGGACTTTCTCACAATAGGCTGTACAGACCAGGATTTTTCGAGATTGACAGCCAGTAAGATGTTTATCGATGTTGTGATGACCATGGTGATTATAGTATACATGTAGTTACTTATGAGGATGATTATTGGTTGGTTGCAAGGAATCTGATCTTTGATAGAACAGTGGTGGCTCCAAAACTGACAAGAAATAATGACAGTTGGGATATTCCAATTGGCAGATTTATACACAGTGCCTTGGCTGACAGAGGGCCACAATTAATTTGAGCACTGCATGTCAATTTATTGACTTTCTGTCTGCTTCTTAACATGCGTCACTGATATGTTAATATATAGTAAGAAGTACATTGTTGTACAGCCAGAGTTGATAATGTAGCCTACACGTGTTGGGATTTTTATAACTTTTATACATTTTTATAACTTTCATAGTTGTTCATGTAAACGTATGCCGTAATTTTTTATAAAATGTCTACATAGCCATGCTTGTTACGGTAAGCGAAGCTTTTGAGCAATTTTACACAAATACCCTAACAACTAGTCATTGCCATCTTGTGATATAATTTAATGCAACTGTTGGATATCAGTGCGACGTAGCACATTCTCTGCGATCACTCATATCTTTCGGTATATTTTCCTCTACGGAGAGAAGTACACGTTATTGTGATAAAGTGTCTTGCCCAGGGCCACACACACCTAATTGAGTCCAATGGCGTATCGAAACCCCGTGCTCGTGTTGAAAGAACACGAGAACGGTTTTCCAATGACGTGATTTTAATGTTTTCGTCCAGGTCCAGTTGTACTCCACATGCACTTTACTTTGCCTGGACGTTTATAGGCCTAATCGACAACCCGAGAACACTGCATTCGCGGGTCACTCATAACAGGGTTTAGAATACTCCATAATGAGTCGGGATTGAACCAGGATACTTGATGTACATGTGATTCCATAACAACAATAAGTTGTGAGCTATAATTATTAACTTGTGTTTTATCTTAAGGTCACAGGGTTATCTGCTGGTCCGATCATAACATTCCAACATTTACTCCTTGGACTGAAAAAAGGAGTGTTTTCTTGTATTTTATTAAATAAATGACAAATTCAGACAAACAGTGTGTAGGCAAATGCCAGGTTTTTTATTACAAAGATGTGAATTCATAGCTTGAATATTCGTGTCACTTTAAGTACAAATCTACATAAGTTGTATCTTAAGGTCACTGTGCATATTTGTGTATATCAATTAAATAATGTGTGTCTTACAGGAGCATTAATTGTGAAGATAAATTGCAGATGCGAAAGTAATTGCTTCGGTCTAGGAATCATGTACTAGAGATTAAGAGAAGTCTGTAAGTTTTTCTTTGTATTGACTATGCAATCACATTAATTGTCTGGGAAACCTGAAGTGGAGAATTCTCGTCTTTCCGTGGGAGAAGGCATTACTTTATAAAGTTTCTTTTGAACATTAGAAATATTGCGTCAGACTAGCTTATACATGTATCTTCAAATTGATTTTTTGTAAATGGTGGATAGTTATAGCCAAGCTACGCGGACCCATTGTAAAAGACAAAACCACGGTGAAATAAATTTGTACAAACTTGCTCTTTGATCTTACTTTGTCCTAGTGCTACGTTCGTCATAACCAGGGGCGTAACTGGGGTGAAACATCTGGGGGCACCTGGGGGTGCACAAAAGGGTTTTTTTTTCAAGGGGACACTGAAAGTAATTGAACAGCGGCTTGCCTTTTTTGTTTTGGGACTGAGAAAGGCCTACAGTACAGGACCGCATGTACTGTGGACGTAAATGCTATACATGTACATGTATACTTTTGGAAACACACACCACAGGGAGTGAATCTCCCGTTGTTCACAAATCTTGCCCGTCTTACCACTACTGGATTTTTCTGTTGTGCTTTACGGAAAAGGGTTTTGTGGAGTCCGTTCAAGTTTTCAAGTTAGAGACAGTGTTTTGATCCTGCGGATACAACAAAGTTTGCACTCCAACGCTAATTTAGAATTCTCCATGAGCATGCAAGGCATGTATTCGCTGGAGGATACTCAAGCTATAGGCCTAGACCTATCACAGTATCAGCAATTGTTTTGTATGACTGAAACAGCGAATTTTGTTCTCAATGCCAATATAGGCCTTCTTGGAGCAGGGCCAGTACCTCAAATAGCACATACAGCACACTCCCAAGAATAAATGTAGAAATGAAATTACGAACAGCTACAAAATCAGCTTATAAACTTTCGAAGAACATACTCACGGGGAAGACTAGCCCTGGTGGACTCCCTTTCCTCCCTACGTTACGGTTGCAATGAAGACTTCCTCCAACCTGGGCTAGGGGAAGACATTTCTCGAAAATACCCGCTCAGCAGTATGGCATTCACTGTTTCAAAACTTACACCACATCAACAACCGTACTGTACATGTACTAACGGCGCAGCGAAATGTGCATGCACTCGACATTTATACAACCATGCGTGAAATCATTGCGGACGTCGTTTGCCCAAAGTTTTGCCATGATGACATGAGTGTAAATACATAGTACATTGGCGTAGAAGCTTCATGCGCTTATTTCGGCAGCGCGGTGTCAGGGTGACCGTTTTTGCCGATTTTCGGCTAACTTTGACAGAATTTTTGTAAAAAAACTGAGTTTGACAGAAAATTTAACAGAATGAATTTTTTTGGCAGATTTCTGGTGTACATGTTGTTTAAAAAAGCTGCAATCCTAAGTGCTGAGGTTCACTGGGAAACGGACTTCGTTGTGGGCCGGATCCGCATATTGCCCGAAATTCACCAATAATTTCACAACATCATTAAGTGACTAGATTGTTTATTATGTAATTTGAATCTTAATTAAGGCAATACTAACAAACTGCCTGTGATTTTAAGTGTTTCTAGTGTATTTTGAGTAATTCTGGGGAATTTGGCAGATTTTTTGATAAATCTGACAGATTTTTGATGTGCATTTAACAGATCTTGGCTCTGACCTTATACGGTCACCCTGCGCGGTGTATACTTTTTGTTCATTTCAAGATTTCAAGGTGGGGGGGGGGGGGGGCACGGAAATTCTCGGGTTCTTAAGTTAGCGTTGATGTATCCGCAGGATATTATTATTTTGCTGACTTAAACAATGGAGATGGAGATAAAGATGGGGGGGGGGGTGTTCCCCGTATAGTTACCCCACTTAGTCCTCACGGCAAGTGTGATGGGGTTACTCTTGTGATTTCTGGTGAGTGTAAGCAAATTGCAAAGCCTCTTCCGTTATATTTTGATATTGTGATACTGTGATATTACTGCCCATAATGAGAGAAAGCCTGACAAATCATCTCCCAGGCCTGGCTGTTCCAGTCAAACTCCAGTAATAAACTGCAAGAATAATAATGAGTGTTGCACCCCGACTTTTATTTGCAAAACAAAAATATGCATTTCGAATACACTCACTCTAAGTATCCGTTCTGTAAGAGTATTGAAGGCGAAAAGCCTCAAAAATATTTTACTAAAATGTTGACAATTCAGATGGAAGTATGATTTCTCCGTTGGAATATACATGCACATTCAAAATGCAGTGTTCTATTCTTGAGCATTTCCCCTCGAAAACCGTGGGGGGGGGGGTATGACGCCCGCGACACGAAGAATAGATTTGCTATAAATGACGGGTATTGCGCTTAACGCTTTATGGATGATAGGGGAGTTAGGTTGTTGGCGTAGCGGTACTTTCCTCACCTTCCACTGTTGTGACCCGGGTTCGATTCCCGCCTGGGCCAATATGCGGATTGGGTTTGCAGTCCCTACCTGATTCCGTGGGGTTCTCCTCAGAATATTCTTCTGGGCTTTTCCTCCCACCGTCCCACGTCTAAAACTGTAATTGCTTTGCATTGTCTTCTCTTTACTCTTTACTGGGCCCCATGGGAGACCAGTGGATTCCACTGAATGTGCCACCCAGTTAAACTTAGAATTA